TTTTACAAGACACCAACCTTGCTGACTTTGAGTTTTCCCAACAGGAGTAACTAGAAGATATAGATACAACTTTGGCTCTTAACTTCACGGTAATAAGAAAGGGATTTGTTCAATAGGTGAAAGCCAATCTCCTTGAGAATCCTTCTGTCACAATAGTATAGATTTTTATTAGTGTTAGTGCTAACCTGACATAGTGTAGGTATGACTGATCTGTTCATCTACTGCTAATGCAAGAGAATGTGTTGGGATCAAAGTTTGCGATAAGTTCTTGGTACTTCATTTTCCCTTTAGGCTAGGCAGTGTTGAGAGCATGCCAAGGACACAGTCTGAGGGCCTGGCAATGAGACACTTTTTCTTACTCACAGAGCAGCAACCGCTTTTTGTACCAGACACGTCTTTAAATTCAGTAAAGCTCTGGTAGTGATGCTCTATAGCCTGTCTCTGCCATATTTCTTTGTGAATCTATTGACCTTAGTGGCAAAGGATTAGCATAAGAGAAGTAAGAATCACAAAAATATTTTTTCTGGAAGAGAAGGAAGCCCAATAGTCTGAGAGAGGCTGAATTCACAATTCCTGGGACTTGGCATGACATGGGTACTCCTGCTGCTCTGCACCCTGATGATTGCTTAAACAAGCTTAGACTCCACTCTGTTATTGTTCCCTCATGCTGTTTCTGTGGACATATGGCATTGAAAATCCCTCCAATGTAAATTATTTAGCAAAGCTCAAGTTTTTGAAGCAAACTTCACATGTTAGTTACTAGCTTTGCTAAACAGCAATTTTCCACAGGCTTCATGAGAAATATAGCTTGTACAAGAAAAGAGTTTTCTTGATATAGTGTCAACACTGCCAAATCAAGGGTGTAAGTTTAAAATATTTTTTAATTCCATCTTGTCTCTCAAAGACTCTGAGTTTCTATAGCTTCTTAATTTTTTATTCCTGGTGAAAAGCACATAGGAGCCTATTCAATAGGAGATTACACACCTTGTTTTGTGAAGCCTCGAAGCATTTTGGACCAATCTTCAGTACTGAGTTCTTGCAGCGATGATTTGCAGTGACTGTGGGAGTTTCAAAGATGGGACCTTAAGTATCCAGCTCCATTGCCCAGAATCCCAATGGAAGATCACAGCCTCAATCTTTGGAGCTAAAACTGAAAGTGAGTGTTTTGTTTAAATAGTTATAAAGACAGCCCAGCCTGCAACATCTGGCTTCTTTCACATGTTGTTGGCAGGAGAGGGAGGGCTTAACTTCACTTTTTCACACTTGTTCCTTTTAGTTTCTATAGAGTCTTTGCTGTGGTAGTTTTTGGAGAGAGCCCTACTGAGGAGTAGCAGGGACTGTAACTGTGGCTGGCCCTTGCTCAGATGAGACCAGGAGAGGGAAGTATCTAGCTATGGTCTGGCCTATAATTAATACATATGAGGAAATTATGTTCTGCTCATGAACATTCCTTGAGGAAATAAAGATTAAATTTGTTAGGTAAATTATTCACTACGAATTATTCACTAAGCTCTGCTATTCTGAGATTTCTGCAATGTCTAAGGGAGCTAGATCATACAGGGAGAAGCATGGCCATAAAAGCAGAGGCTGAAGGTGTGATTCCTTTCTTGTACAAAATACAAGTCTTATTGCAATTAAAATAAACAGACTGGGATTGCTTAGCATTAGGGAAAGCAAGGTATAACCCCAAGGTGTCTCTGAGTATCTGATTAAACTTGGACCAGATTTGTCTGATGGACAATGAAAAATAAGTTGCTAATACGCAAAAAGTCTCATTTTGTTTGCTTTTGAGAGATGGCCAGCATGCTAAACACTTCAATCTACTTTGTACTCTTCTTTTTAGTTTTATTGGAATACTCAAGTATCGAAAGGGTAAGTTTACACTTGCAGTTTAGATTCGAAGTGATCTCTCTCTTCAGGGCAAGATAACTGGATGGAGCCACTGAGGGGGTATGGAACTGTTGCAGCACTTGATATCCTGTGGGAGGGAGACACATAAAGCACTTCAATATGCAGAACCATTCATCATGGTTCATTCATTAAAACTGAATAATGATAATAATAAGCTATAAGGTATGTTGCCTTTTATAAATATAATGACAGTGGGAATCATTCTCATGGGATCATCTCAATTATTTTTAAGTGGATAGTCTTTTTCCCCATAGGGCTTCCCAGACGAAGAGTGATATTGCCTGGCTATTTCAGGATGAAGGAGTCAATCCAAGCCCCATAAAATTCACCTGAAAAGCTTCTATTGATTTCACTGGGGTTTGGATCAGGTTCAAAGACCAGCAAGGAAATGGAATGTTACCTGCAGTAATGTCTAACAAAAACCTAAGTATGAGAATTTTTCTTTTAATTTTATGTAGATATTTATTCCCTTTTGAAAAATTAGTTTCAAATACAGAGGATATAAGCACTAAGCTTATTATTAACTCCTTTTGAAATGTATTGGTTGGCTAAATTAAATGAATTTAATGTTATATATGTTTGACTTTCTTCACTGTTACTTTTTAAAACTAGCATGGGTCAACTTTCCAAGGGCAAGAACATAATCAGGTCAGCTTTCAAGCTGCTATAATTTTTCTGATATGTGGATGAGGAAAGGAAATAGATATGGGTGGGTACTATATCTCTTGAAATTGCCTCTTTCTTCCTGTTTAACAATAAATATTCTACAGAAAGGAAGCTCATATATTACTCTTCAGATGAGTTCCCATTTTATTAATCATGAAGATTTTAATAGTGGCCTGAGACAGGAAATCACAGTCTAATGATCAGCAGAGTCTGATTTAATCCTCACGTTTGAATCAGATTAAAAAGAAAAACAATATACTGCAATGTACATCTATGTAGATAAATAATCAGGTTTAATTACTATTAAACGTACATACAGTTTTTATAACAACATATGGCCCTACTGAATTACTAAGGCTGATGAAATATTCATGGTAAAACCTCCTTATTTTTAGAAACTTAAATGGACATTTCAGGTGGTGTTTTCAGATGTAAAAAAGAAACATATCTCTCAGAGTTCATAATTATTATTAATTAATTAATGATTATTAAAAATAACAATGATTCTGAACTCTGATGGATATGTTACTATTAAAAATAACAATAATAAATTCAACTCGGTTCTAGATGAGTGTAGTTCTGATTAAAATGTGAAGTGGAAACATCTTGGTTAATGGATTGAGGTTCAACACATACTCCACTGCAATCCAGTAATGTAGAGGACAGTTCTGCATTACGTTCTGCAGAATTTAAGCATCTTGACCCAGTTCCTCATCCCCTTCTCACCAACCTGGTTCTTACAAAGTCTGGAAAGGAAAACCTCATTATATCGTTTGCATGTAAGAATTATTCTTTCATCAGTCAACTTCAGTCCATTCAGTTGCCCATCCAGCAGAATCCAAGAAGAACTCCAAAACTTTTCTCTAAAATTTAAATAGAATAAATATCAAACTGAAATGGGAATTCATCTGATGAGCAGCATCTTATCCCTCCCTGAAGTATTCAGATGATAGAGGAAGAAGAGATCAATTCAGCCAAGGACTACTCGCCTATCTAGCATTGTCTCCTCATGCATGCTTCAAAAAATTAGAAGTGTGTATGGGACTGTGAAAGGCTATTCTAAGAAATGAGACCTGTGCATTTCTGACTGGCTTTAACTATCAGTTCTTTTGGTTTTCAGTTCGAATGGCTTCTTGTTTTAGCTTTCCTCGAAACTTAAGTTCATCCAGATCTAATATTAAAAGAATGACCTAGAGAAAGTATGCATACATAATCTGTGCACTGAGAATTTGGATTCACAAGGACTTCTAAATTCTTATTTGGTGCAAGAGACCTCCACAGTGATTTGCTTTTTAAAAGAGCTTTTATCTATGCAAAACTTATAACTAAAAGTTACCTAACGCAGATTTGCTTGGAAAAAAAAAAAAATTTTGAAAAAATGTTATCAAAATTTGGAAAAAAAAAATTATCAAAGTGTTTTATTGACACTTATTCTTGAACCTTTTTCCTGTGACTTACTTAGAAATATACTTCTTTTTCGTTTATAGTAATGTTAAATTAAGATTTAATTGAAGCTCTCTGGGTGGCTCAAAAGTTTGGGGTTTGAAATTGAGAATTTGCCTCCATTTTTGATCAAAAAGTTGTGAATTTTTCATGGTTTCAGGTTTTGTGGTCTATGATTCACAACAAATAGATTTACTTAGGATACTCAAGATTTTTGTTTGTTTGAGTTTTGCAAATAATATCAAGCAAAATGAAGCAGAAATTCAAAGCTATCTTTCTTACTCCACTTTCATTTAACCTCTAGGCTGTTTTTCAAGAAGGGTCTAAAGGACTTTTGTCCTTCTCCTCTGTCTCTGTTGTAAGCTTCTGTTAGACTTGCTTTTTCTCCCTGTGACTTTGTCACCATATCAAGGACAACAAAGGACTGTAAAGTGCTGTTTCAGGGAGTCCAAATTCTGTGATGAATGGCAAAAAATTATTCCATGGTGCAAAAGAAAAAGATGGCTTTAGAAAACTTCCCTTCTCTTTAATCTCATTGCTTTTACTACATTGCTGTAGAGCTAAGAAAGGCAGGCAAGTGTTGGGGACCAGCTAGACTATGTACTGCAGTGCAAATCTGCTGGGCCATAATATCCCTCACTCCTCTGAACAGCAGCACACCTTCTTCACATTTGAATCCCAGCACAAGTTGAAATGCAGGGTGCAGTCAGTGCCATAAGGCTGAGTATGGAAAAATAAGAGCTGAAAAGAGGACGATTTTCTTGACGTTGTCGAAAGTCTTACTGAGGCCTGATAGTGACACAGAAGGAGATAAGTTCAGAAACATTTCTCACTCTGAACCCTGTTCACATTTTCAACTAATCTCCTTAGTGCACCTCTCTCTTTCTTTTCCTTGTCACTTCCTCCCCTCCTTCCTCACTCCCTCCCCAAAGGAAGATTTCAGCTCACTCACAGATGCTGCAAGCTCACAGCTGTGTGAAGTCACATCCTGGTAGAATAAGGAAGCGCGTAACCGATTTACGCTTGTGTAGTACACTCCGTTGTACTTAGTTTGGTTACAAGGTAGTAGCAGCTGCACATCGGCTGGATAAAAGTGAGTTAAAAATGTTGAAGAGAAAACCATCTAACGTCTCTGATAAGGAGAAAAGTCAAAAGCCAAAGGTAAGAATGTCTAGTTTTTTCGTCAATGAATAATAACAGGAATTCTTAACAATTTTTAAAAGGAGGATTTCTTTTTAAATACTAGCTTCAGGATTTCCTGATGTGTTAGCAAGTGCCTCAGTGCTATAATCTCAGGAATCTATTGGTATATGCTCACTTTATGATAGTAATGATCCAATTCAAGGAATTATCATTATGAACCTGCTAAAGATGTGCAAAAGAGTCCTGGTGCTGGACTTTGTCTATTGTTATATGTTCTGCAT